AGTCTAAGCTGCAAAAAGCTGATTAGGCTGATTCAAACTCAGAGAGATCGCATGGAAAACCAGCCAAATCATCACAATAACTCACATTGGCAAGACCAATAAAAAGAGAAAACTGGGAGTCACTGAATGTGGTTGGCCTCAAAAAAAAAAAAGACCACACAAGATGTTGCTCAAAATAAAATGTTTTGACTTTCACTAAATTGGTTTTATTCAATGAAAAGCTAGAACATCTAAAACACAAATCACATTTCAGAATTCAGGCCAAATTAACCAGTTACTGCAGGGATTTGACAGCAACCGAACGCTGTTATACAACTGCTACAATTACTCCCTACTCTATTATATTAGACAGTTTAATAATAATGCATCCAAAAAAGTCATGTTCAATCAAGCAAAAAAAAAAATACAAAAAAAAACTGTAAAACAAAATAATTTTACAGTAAAAATAAATGTATATGGACAAAATACTAACATTTCTTTGCAATGTACACAGATTATCACACGTTCAGAAAATGCAAACCAGACAGTGAAATGAGTCTGAATAAGGCATTAGGCTTGAACAGCGCAGGCCTTCATACCCTGTAAATTAGAAAAAGGGATGACTTGTCATTTTCTGTAAATTGGCATCTCACTTCATTTGAGCGGATTAAGACATTAATTAAAAGTGTTGAGGAAAGCTGACAGTTTTTTTTTTTAAATTAAGTATCAAGTATCCTAATGAAAAAAGTAAAAGAAGTAGAACGAAGTTGGGGATAAAATAAATTAACTGGGGAAATGTTAACAGAAAGAGAAGTTAAAAACATGTCAGTTGGGAAGAGGAGAGCAGAAACGAGAAGGCTGTGGATGCTCAAGGCAATGCCATCTGTGGGTGGATCTGCAAAGGCTGCATGCCACACACCTGTGTGGGACTGCCTGGGAGATAAGGCCCACAGCAGAATGGCCCCACGGCCACCTGTGCTGCCAAACAGGTGCGCAGCCCAGCCAATTAAACTATTAGACAAACACAGGCTTCTGGGAGCAAATTAGCAAGTAGTCCAAACATCAGAGGAAAAACAAAAGGCAGTAGTAAGCACTCACAGTGAACAACACAACAGGACTTTTTTTAGTGAGACTTTGAACATTCAGCATTTATATTAAACAAAGAATGGGTTTGAGTACAAATTTCATTTCATTTAATTATTTATTTAAATTAGGACAATGCATATTAATCAACACGTCAGCGGTAAGCATCAATGTAGCGGTAAATATGCCAGCATTAGCACAACAGCTAATTTTCATCCGTTGTCCTAAGGCAGGTAAGAACAATTCATCAAAATGATTCCTGAATGCATTCAAAAGTTTTAGAATTGTTGACGGGAATGTAAATATGAGCTGCTTTATTGCTGATAGCAATGCACTGAAAAAAAAATAAATAAAATAAAAAGTTTGATTTGTACAAATCCAAATGGAAATAATACCTTTGAGTCATCAAGGCATAATTCGTACAGAAATGCAATCACAGAGAAAGCCTTGGCAGCATGTAAGTAGACACGCCGCATACTATTGTAAAACAGGTCAAGAACATCATTCATGTAAGCTTTTACTTCAGAATCGACAGGCTGATATCATTAGGTCAGTGTGGGATTACATGATAGGCTTGAAGTAACTGAGACAGCCTGAACCCACAGAGGGACTGAGGCCATTTCTCCAACATGCTCTCAGCAACACGGCTGCAAAGTACAGTGACAATATGAGACATAAAATACTGATGAAAAGCTTCTCTTTAAAGACAAACTAGGGTTACTTCTTGTATTTAGATTCCATAAACTTCAATGCATGTGAAATTATTTTTAAATGTATTGTTTAAATATATGTACATAAAGTAATTATTGGCTTTTTTTTTGGCTGATGTTATTTTTAAATGCTGTTTTAGAGAGTCAATGCAAAAAATCTTCGTTCTAGTGCACAGTTGCTAACATGTTCTTGAGTGACAAAAATTATTATATTATTTTACTTGACCGAGGGATTTTTTTTTTTTTCCCCAACCCCCCAAGATAGATTTTACAGATAATGGAAATCTGTTGCAACGACAGAGAACTTTAATCCATGTATATATACATACATACTCAAATATTTACACTCATATAGTGGTAGCCATCTTGGATTTTGATGTAGCAACATAAATTTCAAAAGGAACCGTTTTTACACCTTATTGGAGCAACACACCAAAGTAGAAGTTAGTACCTCACTTAATTTTCAAGTTATCATCACAACTAGCACAAAGGAACAGTGGGAGGGAGGAGTGGACAGACTATATTTCTAAATTCCCCTCTTCGCTCTATGACAAGGGACAATAAAGGGGTAAATAAATAAATAAGAAATGGGTTTTTGTTCACACTGAAAAAATTATAAAAATATAAAATAAGGCAATGTACAAAAGTGGCATTAACATAGTGGAGTTAAATGCAGACTTCCCGTATGTTGTGATTCAAAATGAATGAATACATTCAAATTAATTAAAAGTAATATTATCCATGCTTCAAAAAAAGTAGGCACTTTCCCCAGGAGAGAAATAAGAGACAAAAAGATTTGTAAATGAGCTGTGTTAGTTAACACCTACATGCCCTTATTGTGCACATAACCAAAGGTGGTTTGCTGGCTGAACAGCACCATCTGTTAGTTTTAACTCGTTACTAAAGATGGTCAAAAGTTTAGTTTTTATAAAAAGCCACAACAAAACTCTTGCCTCAGACTTGCTTAACGTGTAACATCTCACTAAGAACATACTGCTCTGCAATCAAAACAGATTTTTTTAACTACTTATTTATACATTATTCTGATTTACATATGCTGGTATTATTAGGCGTGTCACAATAACAATTTTTGCTGGGCGATTAATTGTCTCAGAAATGACTGAGATAAATAATAGTATTGTTTGAAATTTTAAAATTAGTCATGTCAAATTTAAGAAGAAATGTTGGTTATTTTTTGTGTGTAGTGCCTTTTTTGACCACTGGATGACAGTATAAGACCGTTTGAACTGAAGGATGGATAGTGAGGGAGTGAGCAGCATGTCTCTTTAAGAAAAATGGGAGGGAGGTGCCTTGATGTGACATGGGCTGTCTCTCGTTCCTGTTTTTCGGTTCTCAAAATGGTGAATGCTCTGAGTGGTTTGAGCTCTTCAGCATAGCATTTTTCACATAAACTTTTAATAACAAAGTAAAAAAGTTCTCAGCTTCTTTTTGCAGAGAAAAACAACTTTTTAGACAAAGGCATGGGTTTCAACCGTGATTTTTGGTGCTTTGACAAGATGGAGGTTTTTTCCCGAGGTCGGCCTGTTAGCTTATCTCATAGCTTAGCTTCTCAGCTGCTTTTAACGATCCAAAAACGTGATTTTGGACAGTTAAAACAGATTTTTAAAAGAAAGGGAGGGGTCAGTGAAGAGCACCGGAGTTGAGCCTTTTGTCATCCAGTGTCCAGTAGAAAGAGAGCGGCACGAAGAAACGATAAGCTGATAAATGAAAATGAGGTTGATAATTCTCATTTATCATGCGATTAATTGATTTATTGTTTATCGTGACAGGCCTAGGTATTATGTTAAAAATATTTGTTTAGTGGACTAACTCTTGGTTGAAGTTCTTCCAGCCACTCCTATCAACCTGATAGGTGGTCCTTGATGATCACACCATCAGACTAGAAAGCAAACCCTCAGAGGCTTCTGTTCGTTCCCTTTCTTCAACTGGACCCTGTGATGTGAGGGGCAAACTTTCAAAATCCCTGCAATTATTTATTTATTTATTTTTCTAGTAGGTCAGCAGAGGCATTTCTCTATATTTTATTTTCTGGTCATTGTAAATCTGCCCGTACGGTCAACAGTTTGTTATAAAGCAGTAAAGAAGCAAGTTAGTGGTAAATGTTTTTGATAGCTGGGACATAAACAGGCAGTTATGAATGAACCAGCAAACTAACAGTAATATTTATTTTTTTAAAGTGCATATAAAAAGGTGAAGATAGTGTGAAAAGTTATGAAAATAACTTATTATTATACATTATGATCCAAGCACAGTGACTGCCAGCGACTTGGAACTGATAGACCTTTTTAGTAAATGTTACTGTGTATATACTGTAGTAGTGGGGGTGGCCCATTTTACTGGTTTAAAAAACTATTTATTAAAATACTAATAGGTCAATTTGGAAACTTGTGTGAACTTTGTATAAAAACATGCTCATTTCAATTTTTATTTTTCTTCATATGTTGGTAGACTAGTTTGAGAAAAAAGGGTTGGTTGAAAAACAAAACGTTCATTATTTGATAAAATACATGATGTTTTAGAAAGAAGATGGATTTATTGAATGTACTGGGTTATTAGCATTGACCAAAATGACTTTGACATTTGTCTTTTGAATAAATTATAGTATTTATCAAATGTAATCAGTGCTATAATACACAACACAGGTACTTTTTAAGTCTCTACATATCGGCATAAAATATTCCAAAGAATATCAGAACAAGTTGTATCAATGAATAAATATGTTAACCTTGCAGAAAATCACTTTACTAAACTACAATAAATGTTGGACACTGTTTGCTGTTTATCAACCTTAATGTTACCAGGTGTTTTAACCAATCAACAGCTTCCTTCTTTCATAAAAAAAGGATAAATCAATACAGTTCAAATTTAAAACTACAAAAATTTAAATTTAAATTTCTGTTTTCAGACATATAGGCCCAGGATGAGTTATTGGTTTTAATTTTTCAAAGAGATAGATTAGAAGGCTAATTATTTTTCAAAACCTTACTAATTGCTTCTCAAACAGAGTAATATCCTTCAGTAAATTTGTGCAAAGTAATTATTGTGCAACAGTAAAATGTAGCACTAAAAAACAGCTATTCCATTACACTGAAAACATTCATAATGCTGCCCAAGATACTGAAAACGTGAAGCTATTTCCAAAATCATGGACAATCGTATTAATAAAAGAACAATTTATTGTTAGTAGTGAAAACTGTAGTTACTAACCTAACAGGGTTACTGGTGAGAGACACTCTGAGGGATTCCAGGCAATTGAGCAGCTTTTCATCTGTGATGCCAGAGCGCAGTTCATGGACATATTCTTGGGAAGAAAGAGTACACTCATGCTTGCTGTTCCTTAGACCACCCTGAAAAAGAAAAATCAGTAGAATTATAATTATTTGCAAGTTTTAACTGCAACTTAATCACCAACAACATCATAAAAGCAGCAAAGATAAACTGAAATAAATATAAATCATGGAATATGCTGGAGAATTCCTTTATGTCTAAATAAAGCAACACCCTTATAATGGACTCCACCAACAGAGCTAAAATCAAGCTCTGTTGTACATGCAGTCTACAGCAGATTCTGCTTGGAGTAAATAGATTCTTGTGTTTAATCTCCATCGGGATATGTTGCTACACAGATGCTTACACAATGAGACTATCTGCTGGCAGCACTACACACACTTTCAGCTCAAAAACACATTAGCGTTCGCTCTTTAAGCGCACGATAAAAAACAGCTTTGTACTATAATGAGCAATAGTTTGATTTCACCATCACTAAGTAATTCAATTGTTTGACTAACATTACTTGCAAGCAAACAATCAACCAAAATGAAACAAAGCTTTGTTGGTAAATTGATTATTTTCTGTCAAATGACTCTTTCGAAATTGGTAATTAATGACACTGTTGTTAAAATTATGTAAATGATAGATCTGGGTATAGGGTACCATACAAAAACACAAGGAAACACGCTGCACAGGAACCATCACACATGCTTAAAACAGGCTGATTGGCAAAAGCAACCCCCACTGTATTCATCCCTAGATTGCTGGTTCCCCACAAAGTGAGCTGTGCTAATAGGCATTTTGGGAAGTAATAAGCAAGCTCATTTATCTGGAGAAAAGAGAGGTCTGCTGCTTTGCTGCAATGCGCAGTCAACATGAATGAACCTTTTTATTTGTGTGCGTGCATGAAAAACCAGAAGGATTCAGCAAGCAGCCAATAATCTTGTTCTTTTCATGTACGTTGAGATAAATGTTTGACTGACTAAACAACAAGAAATACATTTCTGAGACATGCTTATGTAAAAGTGTATTGTAAAACTGCAGAAATGATCAGTGTCAAAACTAAATTCATTCACGCAGAAGAAATTGAGTCACACCCTGCTTTGTACCTTGTGGTATTAGCAATATGTGTTCATCTTAATCTCAAGCACCAGGATATGTATTTGGGATAGAAACAACAAGAAAATTCATAGTACTACATCAGATTTTGCAACTGTTGTTAACCGAACATAAGCACAGAACTGTTCTTTTATAATTACCAGCTGCACAAAAGATGGTGAAATGAAAGATGGAGGAAGGTAAAAGGATCAAGATATTACAAAAAAGATGTAATATTTACAAAAAAATCTGCTTTATTTAAAGATCATATATATATATATATATATATATATATATATATATTTAAGGTAATTAGGATCTTGAATCAGCATTTGTAAGAGTCACTTTTAAGTTGTGCTTTAAAGAGTTTCTGGCAATGAGGGCTAAAGGATGTAAATAAAACAATTCTGATCCAGTTGGTTGGGTCTAACTTAAGGACTTCTATCACCACAGGCAAAACAAGAAAATTCACATTATGTCACATCAAATAATACAAAGAATACAGAACCAGCATAGTTTGTGTAAAGTTTTCATGTTGTCAAAAACTGAAGAAGCAAAATAAAGCATGAGCATTATTGTTTTTCAGTCTGAACGTTGTAGGGAGTTAATGTAATACACTGCATGTCTCCTGAAAACGTCATTGTTAAGTTTTGCACCATCGCAGCGGCGAGATCACTAAACCATTTCTTGTTTTTCTTCAAGAAGTCTAGGGCTTCAAAGACACGCCGGTGTCTGCAGTGAATCAGATAATAAAAGCAAAACAACTTAACTGTGGAGGAGTAATGTGTCAGAGATTTGCTTTTGAACGCGAGAAAGATAAAAGAAAGGAAGATATTGAGTTAAAGTGATGGGTTTTATGAGGACCTACCCTGCTGTCTCACTGAGGTTTGACGTTGGTTGTAGAAGAATATGATGAAATGCAATATATCATTTTACAAAGAGCAATTTACTCCTTTTAGTAAAAACTTGTCAAAGGTATTAAAGTGTAATGACGATTGAGACAATACATGTTTGTCTCAAACCATCCCTATACAGACATTACCAAATTGCTGAGTGCATTTATTTTTAAGAATCATTTAGAACAATTAACATAATTTGAATGAAACATGTTTTTGTTTTTTTTGTTGTTTTTTTAAATTAGATAAGTATGTCTTGGAAACAGTAAATTACCATTCAGGAGTGAGATTCCATTTATGTACATGGCTGACTAGACAACCACATTTTCCATAAAGTACATCCTCAGTAATAGACAGTGAGAGGCAAATGCATCACTCTTTTTTATTTATCCCCTGACTTCTCAATAGTTCCCAGCAAGCATACCACCATGTCCAGAAAGGCTGGAGCTCTGGTTTCACCACATGCCCTGACCTGTGGAAACCAAAGACAATGACCATAAACTGCTTTTTCATGACCCTAGCCCAAATCAATAGACTCCATTGGGATAATATCAACATTACACCACTATACTGGCAGCAGAGAAACAATCTGAGAAGCAGAAGGGGAAGTGGTGCAAATACCTGCTGGTTTCTGAGTAATGGGAATTTTCTCTGTCACATTTATGAAAAATGGTCAAGAAAAAAAATGACCCATGTGAAAAGTGCCAGGGAAGATGGAGTGGAGAAGAGAGGTCTGTGTTAGTGGCGTAGAAATATGTAAAAAGTTTTTTGTTTTTTTTTTAAGCAAAGGATGTACAAGGAAGAGTAGAAGTAGAAGGGTACAAAAAGTCAGAGCAAGAAAGGGCAGGCCAAAGAGGCAGATCATCAGGAGATGCTGTAACCTCTACAGCATAGGACAGACACAGCCTTTTGACCACAGCCCTGAGCCTCATCTCCTGCCGCTTACTGAATCTCCTATTTGTCGATAATAGTATTTCCTGCCAAAGAAAATAGTGTTGGGAGCAATTACTTCAGTGAGCTTGTCAATTTCATTTTGGGGGGTTAGGGGTGTTTTGAGGATCATTCCCTTCTCCTCTATCACCTCTGTCTCCCTTCCTGTATGCCATGGGGAGTGACAGAGTGCCTTGCCATCTATCCAGGGAGGAACATGGAGATAATGCCAAGTCGGCTGCACCTCAACATGTCATCTTCACCTGTAATGAGCCTATAACAAGCTGGCATCTTCTTCAGTGCCCAGTGCTCGGTCCACTCAGGCAGACTGATAGATACATTATTCAGGGTCTTTGTCAGCTTAGTGGAAAACCACATAAGCAGTAGCGTGTCTGGCTTGGAAGCTTGTGCTGGCAGATACAGTAGCTTCCAGGTCAGTCATGTTAATTCCATTCAGACTTCTCTGTCTCCTGTAGACAAATGCATGTACACAATTATCAAACTGTTTTTCCAGTACTGGTACAATGGTCACAATCAATACATAATAGCATTATGGTAAGGACAAACAAAATCTGAATTAATAACATAGAAATGAACTAAACTAACTAAATGAATTAGTATGTTCTAGGCTATGAATATGTGTTGTATATATTTATTGCACATATTATTTTTCTTACTGTTTTTCTTTTCTAACTGTGGATATATATGTAGTAAGTGGTTGCTGCATAGTCTTGATTTCTTAATAAGTAAAGTCATACTCATTCTACTTGCTCTTTTTAAGGGCAGACGCCTTTATCCTCCTCTCCCTCTCTGCTTTGCTTTGCTCTGTCCTGTCTTTAAAACTGCTTAGAGCCTCTCTTTCACAAATTTTCCGTATCATAATTTATGGACTTGGATTTGGTCAGTTGATCCCTCAACGCAATTGATAACATTTATTCGAAGAGAAGACAGGCTTTAGGTGAGACAATTTGCCCTGTTGACACGCACGCAGCTAGATATCTCATCGACTCGGAAGACTTGATGATGTGTCCATCTCTGCTGTCATTCGTGGATTTTAAGGATGCATATATAATTGGATTTATGATAACTGGTTCCTGCTTTTTGGATTCGGCTGGTTCCTGGTTTATCTACAATCAAGGAAGTTGTCGGCAGCAGGCTACCTGCCTTATATGATGGCTTGGTTCGTGACTCGAGCACCCAGACTCAAATGCTTTTGGTAGGATGGATCAGATCTCAGGGATTACTCTCAGGCACGGTCCATTGGTATGGCCATTTAATTTGGACATTTCGGAACCGAGTGGACTGACACAGACTCAAGGTAGATGTCAGTACAAGTTTTGCCTGTCCCGAAAACAATCATGTTTATCTGAATTTGGATCCCTGACTGGCCTTGACAGGCCATCTTATCTTAATTTGCCTGGAAGTTTTGTAAACCTGATGCTCTACCCCTCCCTTCCCTCCTACCGAGGAAATCTACAGGTCATTCAGAGGGGCCCAGCTGAATAAACATTACGTCATCATTTCAGGACTCTTTGGAGTCATCCTTGGCTGTCCTTGACACCCCCCCCCCCCCCCCCGAGAGTGTACGGATCTCTCCAGAGGGAACTATTTGAACTGAGAGATTTTATCTGAATTCTGCGTTGTCTCTGGACATGCTCACTGCCCTTGCACCCCACACCCTCACACCCCCCACACTGCGGAATGTCAATGACATTATGTGCTCGGGTGCAAGGTTTATTTTTTTCATTATCATGCTGTTAACCTTCAGCCAAAGATTAAGAGCATGTTAGGATTATTTCTGTCTCCAAACCCCATGTGCCATTTTTCACCACTTTTTATTGTCTGTCCAAACAGGTCTCACTAGCTATGTTTACATGTGCAAAATTCTTTGACCGGATTGAAATGTTTTCAGATTAAATAATTCAAATGTATTGCTTACATGGGCACAATCTGTTCATGACAAGCGTTTACATGCAGCGGGCTTTGTTCTGAACAGAAGTACTGACATGTGCAGAGTGGTAAACTCTCCTTAAAAAAACACTGAATAAGAAGTTCTACTTCCGGAATGAACGTAAACATACCTGAGCACCCAAAATGGACCCACGACAGGTTTTAATGACGGTGGAGAGGTTGCTGCACTCCCTGTCTGAGCT